CCCTGAAAGACCTTCCTGGTATAAACAGCTTCATTTGCCTGGGCCTTTCCTTCACTACTGTCGTTTTTGCGACAGCGCCCCTAACAGCCTGTCCTTATTACCTCATTGTCACTCTGAGGTATTAAGGGAGAGGAGCGGGCGGTAGATAGAGGAGGTGCCTTTGCAGCGCGTGTGCACACACGTGTTCCTTGCGGAGATGCACTTTCATTCTTTGTACTGCTTTCAAATACGTCCTTCTCATAAAGGTAGAGGAATGGAGCGACTGAACCTGCAAAGAATATTTATATCATGTTTTCTCACATATCTCGTTTTCTGCTGCGCTACACCCTCTCCTCCTATCTGCACCACGATGCCACTGACCCCACGAGTACGACCCCCCATGACCCACCCTGACAAATACGACCCCCTGTCGAGGATTTCCTCGACCGATATTCACCCTGCTACGCACAGAGTTTTCTTCAGTTACCTATAAAATTGAATAATTTCAACTGTACATTGAATGTAAAAGGCTGAAAAAATCGGCGCTTTGCAGTGATCAATCTGCTTTAAAAGCACAATAAGCCTTATCCTTGAACAGCCGGCTGAGATTCTATTTTGAGAGAATACCAGAAACAGCAAAGGTGGGGTTGACGGACTACTTGAACTCAGCCCTTTAAACCGCCTCTGCGCTCTCTCGCGGGTCCCTCTCCAAGGCTTAGTCCTAGGGCATTCACCCGTTCTCTAATCGTCTGTGCTCTAGCCATCGCGGCAGGACCATTGAGGAAAAATCAAGTAGTCCGTAAACCGGGGGAAGTGCAAGGGAATCGTTTGTTGTGATGACGAGCTGCTTCCCTCAATTTTATACACCAGCACTCGAGGTCTGACAAGTTCAAACAACTGCTCTTGCACAATTCAATGTACAGAAGAAAGAGTGTTCAGTTAACTGACTGTTTAATGAATTGTATAAGAGGTTTCAGGTGGGTAAAGAGAACATGAAAGAAGTGAAATGGAAGTACTACGCCCTATCTCAGCAGCCTACCACGTACTCGCTGTCTGGACTTTCTTCGAATTCGGAGACAATAAGTAAAGAGTAAAAGTCCCGGCATTTGCAGCGGACAAGATTCGTTTGCTTGATTTGTGCCTCCATTTTTGTGGTAAATGCGCACAAACAGAATGTTGAATTGACCGCACATTCAAATCACACCACTTCAATAAATGCTGCTGAGATTAAGCAAATTTTCCAAAACTTTCATTAACACCTGTTCAAATTCCGATGAATTCTTTCAAAAGGCTGTAACGACTAAATGAACCCACCGAAGAGCAGATGCGAACCCTCCCTACCCTCCCCCCCCCCCACACGCCCAATAATTCCTCATCATGCTGGCGTAGGTATTCCTCATTCATGCTGGTCGTAGGTTTCGGCAAGACTCAAATAAAGGCAGCGCACGGCCTGCTCCGGGAAGGCTGGACGGTCCTGACCGAGAGTAATGACATGCATCCAACTTCCTCTCATTTCCTTGAAGAAATTAGAAGCTGGTTCGATGTTCACGGCAGCACCCCTGTCCCCCGAGTGGTTTGGCACCGCAGAGCTACTCTCAAAGAAAGGACGGCTAGATTGGCCTGGAAGAGACGATCCATTATCTGTGCAAGTGCATGTGGCGCTTTTGCCTCTAAAGCATATATGCTCAGTTGCCCTATAAACATAGCAAAAACTCAAATTTGATGCTATCAGATTTCCGCATTGCATTGGAGCGTTGCACGATACTCCCTTGAGAAGCAACTTTCATCATTTGCTTTCATTCGAATGAATAAGAAAGGAAATATTTGTAGGATTCGAAAATCTACTCAATCTGTCCTTCGGCGCCCTGGTTTTACGTCCCGGCGTCAACCAGCGCTCATTCTACTGGCCAAATGCGTTCGTTATTTATGACTCAATTCTCCTTGTCTGAGGAAATGGAAAGACTTGAGAAAATCAATGGTTTTGCTGACGGCTTACGACCTCGGTCCTCCCATCAAGGAAAACTAAGGTAGCCTGCTATGCTTTCGGGATGACAGGGAGTGACAGCGCTTTTGAGCAAAGCCCACTTCACATCGCTCCTTACCCCCCCCCCCTCAAAATTTCAAGTTGTTTTGTTTATTAGTAGCTGTCTTAACGCTGCAGTTGTGTTGCGAGAGTTTCTTGTGTTGCAGAGTGATACTTCCAAACTAATATTCTCGATCAATGAAATAAAAGTGGATAAGATATTCCTCTCTTGCCTGTGCACACCTTTGAGTGTATTGAAATAAATAAATGTGTAAATAAATAAGAACTGTTCTCACCTCATATCAGTTACGAGTTTCGCAATGCGCTTCAGATGAGTGCTCAGCAAATCGGCAACAATCGACAAATGCTTCTTTTCCTCCTTTGCCGTCAGCAAATCTCCAGCGGTTTGAGCAGAAAATCGACGAATGGCTAGACCAAATTGAGACAACGCCTTTAAAAGGAGAAAACGATAAATATCCACGAATCATCAAAGAAAAATTGTTCTCAGCTAGAAGTGATTGCTATCAAGATCACACAGGGCCCTCTCTGAGCCCGCGAAAGGTAGTTTTAGACAACGATATTTTTAATTATGGAGAGTTACTCCTTTTAGGACACCACGCGAGGAAACTTCCCCCGTCTAGTGAATGGAGTCGTCCGAAGGCATTCTAAATATGCCGCTATGCAACGCGAAAGCAATCAATCTACGTCTAATGATGAAATGATATGTATTCGATGTGGCGGAAAACGTGCATTCCTATCCCGCAAGAACGTCGGCACGAAGAGGAAGTAGGTCGCCATATCTAGGCCCGCGAAAGCGAAGTCGATGATCATTTCCATATCGCATTACTCCCCAACAGCCGATCGTCACACTTTGTGAATCGCTAGTCGCGACATCGGCTCAATTACGCAAATCTGACTATCGGCCCAAACCCTCACCAACGTCCAAGATACGCTTCGAAAACTATTGTCCACCCCTTTTTTGAATGTGTTTCAGATCAACAAGAAGTAGAGAGCCAAGCGAAAAATATATGAACACAAGAATAGGCTCGTATTCTCACTTTTTCAGTGTCTCTGTCAAACTCATCCCTTTCAAGTTCATCCATCATACGGGTTGGCGAATTGAACGACAGGTAGTCACAGCGTCGGCTTAAAACCACCTAAACTTTATCGGAAGTCTAAGAAAAAGCCGACAACACAAAGAATCATTGGGAAAACGACGACAAACCTGTCGAAATTCAGCCAAGTCTTTTCCAAGTGTAAATGCATGCGCCGCCAGTTTTTTGTACGCAAGAGAAGAAACGCTGGGATCCTGAATGACGAGAAATCATGAATATCAACGACAGAGATAAGGAGGATTAGTTACGGAATATTCTGGAGAGAATTGCATCTTTCTGAGAATTCGATATAGACCTGCGCATAGGATTGAAGGATTGAAAACGGCTACGAAACATTTTCGACTTAAGAGTGTAGCAAAAAGCTCCACCTTAAAACAAGTTAACTTCCAAAACTAATACCCTTAGGCATCTGCCAAGTGGGACACCACGACCGAAAACGATTGTTGAAACTCTGTAGGTAAGGTATTTTTGTGCGCTGATCACGAATATGACATCTGTTCTTAGCGTAGGCGGCGTTGACGCCATAATGTGTCCAATGGCGCTCAAAGACAGACACGAAAAATGAATGTCATGCTCGTGATCAGAGTACTCAATACCCCATACACAAGTTTATAGTGAAAATTTGTTAAAAATAAGTGCCGCACTAAATTGGCTCCACAATGCACCAATCGGTATGGCCAAAAAAATGAACGACGTATTGTTAGGACAGACATTGCAGTTACGCTACGGTTACAAGGCTTCTGTCAACCAGGGGGTGAGAGTGTGTAGAAGGAAAAGCAGACGTTCTTCGTGGTAGTGGGACTAAGCCTTTCAAAGGAAGGAAAAGAAAGCGGAGATTCTGTAATAGTGCTTGTGTGAGAGCTCCCAGACAGCAACAAAATGCTGAATTGCCTAGCATCACGGTTGACAGATGTCCGGAGACCTTACGCTACCTCGCGAAAACGCTTCGAAAAATATGTGAAACTCGAAGCTTTCTGGAGGTAGATTAAATACAAAGCTGAAAGTGCTGCCTGCTTCCACAGCGACCCTGCCGGAAATTCGTTTAACTAAATCACCGCAACAGCAAAAGAGCGCCAAAGCACGCTGGTTTGAGTACTACTGCCGGACTTTACTGTATCCATACGCATCAGCGCATCAACGGAGGAAGTGGCGTCTGTATACAAGTAGACGCTGATGCCACCAAACGACACAAACGCTAAAGAGGAAGAAGAAAAATCAGTAACCGCAAAAAAAGAAACTACCTTAATGCCATAGTGGACCACATTGTTGTCGGGGCTATAGAAGAAACCTAATTTCGTAACTCAATCCTACCTTGTTTTCCTATGTCATTCTCCCCAGCAGTGCCAACGCCTCGGCTCGTTAGTGATTTTACGTGCGCCTTGAAATATGGCGTTTGGTCTATAGGCATTTCGGAAGCCCACTTCGAGTTTTCTGGCTTTCAAAGCGATCGATGAAGCCTGAACTGGGTTCGGCATCAGCGGACGACAAATTAAACCGAGATTTCGAAAGCCATTCTGTCGTTTTGTAAACAAAGCATAAACCGTCATCGGACCACACCTATGTTATAGCAAGTTTAAAACGAAACTTTTATTGGAATCATATACACGATCACGACTATCGACTACAATCATTAAAAACTGTGAATAAAATATAGAAAGTAAAACATGATCGCCAAGGAGAGCAGACTACGAACCGATAGTACGTGAGTAACTACATAAACATAATAAATTATATTATATGTGTGGTAGAAATTGTAACAAAACTTAGGTGCATGATGAGGGCCTCACAACGTTTCATAAAATAGAGTGAATGTTATTGTGGGACAACACTACCTAAACGTTGGTAAAACGACAAAAATTGAACACATTATCAAATGGACAGTCGAAAAAAATACGAGCATATTCGCCTACGGGAAGAGAAGCGTTAAACACAACCTCATTTAGGATAGTACTTAGTCACCGAAACTGAGGCCTGTCAGAAGTACTTTGAACGTAAGCGCGACGACGGTTCAGTAGAATACAGGTGCAGAGACGGGCAGCATGAAACGACTCCATCGGCCATGTCTACTTTCCACCTGCCCACAGAACAATGATAATGATCAGAATTACTGTGATTGCACACATTATGATCATCATTTTGATGTTCTTCCACCAGTACTTTCTCTTGAGTGTTGCAGCCGACTTCTCGAATTGTGACGCTCCTTCCTGAATATCTCAGATCTAGTCACTTTGTTGGCTACAATCGGATAAATGAAGAAACCGAATCAAAGTGAGATGAACCTGCAGAGCATCCGCACGGTCGTCAAGCTGAGAAAGCTTCTGATCACGCTCCAACACCTTTTCCACGTTCACCTGGAATACCATTACTAGCAATATCCTACTTACCATAATATTACATTGCAGGGAAAATAATAATAAAATAAAACCACCCAACTTCTGGGCGCATGCATAGTCGGTCGTCCGACAGCAAGGATCGTAACTGTCGCACAGCAGTAGATGCGTATCGATCGTCAGACTTGCCTGAGTATTCGACGATCGATACGTATCTAACTGCTGTGCGACAGTTACGATCGTTGCTGTCGGACGACGACTATGCATGCGCCCTAACATCCGGAAAGTAACAGAGACGTAGTAAAATTAGGGTCACTAGCCATGTGTAAAGAGAACTGACTTCTAAAAGTTTAAAAGATATCATTGAAATTGAGCCCAGACGCACGCAATCAAATCGAAGTATTGGGTTGGACCATAATATCGTAGCGTTTTTTTTTTCGAGCGCATATATTCGATCAGTACAGCGTAAGAAGCGAAAAATCGCGTATGGCATTTGTACCTAGGAAGTTGGAAAATTCAGACAGGAGAAATCGGCATTACGACAGCTCCTATTTCATCTTCAACATAAAAACAAACCCGTCACAAAGAAGCAGCTCTGCCAGAAATCGATGTTTATAATCGACCTTGCTCTTATCATCAGCTACCTCTTACACGACGCAATTAATAACCATATTCTTGTCGTACAGATAGAGAATACTGAATACTTCGAGAGCTAGTCCAAAATGTTTTTTTTTCAATTATGAATCCGGTGACTTAAATAAAAACTGGTGAACTTTATAGAATAAAAGCCGTAAATAATGACAGAATGAACATTTGTGATAAGTTTTGTTTTTGCTTTTTTCTTCAAACGTTTGCGTGCAAAAATGAGAAATACAAGCGCTACGGTATTATGCTCCAACCCAATACTAGAGTATTCAGTAGGCCCCCAGGCTCCCAAACCCTGTACTATAACACAGTCGCAGAACGGCATAAAAACAAAGAGTACATATTAATAGGTCTCAAAGTACCTTCATAATTCCGACTACTTCATCGACCTGTGCCTGAGTTTGTTGGAGGCGCTTGTTGGATGGTCGTGGTCCCTGACTCCCTCCGGCGCCGGCAGCCGCTGCATCTCCTTGGCCTAAAAGACAATCCAATATTTACAACTTAGTTGCCTTGCTATATTCATACACAACAAGATGATTGAGCAAACACAGTGAATAACATGGAAGCCTTGCATCGCTTCAGAAATTGAACAATAAGAGAGATTGTGATGTAATCGCATTCAAATTTACGTATGATCCAGATGTTCAAATACAAATGCGTTCCCCTCTCATCGATTTGATAAAGAAAAGCTATTTTAATGGATTTCAAAATCATAAAGAATGAATCACATATGACAATGGCCGCAAAGCGAGAACACCCAGAAGCCACATGCAGGACCCCATCGCCAGCCGGGACGAACCCCAAACTAGGAGCTCATACCTTTCTTGAGGGCCGTATACGCGAAGTACAAGTATACATTCATTTTGAAAAAAAAAACTTGCACCAAAATTTGAGCAGTAAATTACATTAAGGAGCTGCCGGAGGTTACAACTCATTACCACATAAGCTGCATTCTAAAGCAATCAAGAATTACTAACTCTGCTTCATTCCCTTCATTAGCTACTATTTTCATTCGTTAGCTTCACAAAAGGATTGGAAGCCATTAATAAAGGAAATTTTCATTTTCCCCTTTCGTGATCCGATCCTCCAAAGGCCAGTGGGAAGGCTCAAGTGCAGTAGTTGGGGGTAATGGAGGACACATGCTGCAGAGCACTAGGGTGTGGTTCACTAGGACAGGAAGCGATTCGGTTTTGAAGCGCGAGACATTTTTCTTTGCGGGAACCTCAGGTCCACCTCTTCTTCAGTGGACCCGAAGTTCCCGCAGCGGAAATCAGTCGCCCACACCCGAGCACTGAGGCGTTCAACAACGACAAGCATCTGCTGTTTCACACTCGCCTGTTGCTAGACCCCTTCTTGCATAGGCGACATTTTTGAGGTACCGCGGAGCTTTCTTTTGG